CCAGCCCCCTTGTGGGGCCACCAGGCTGTAGGCCAGAGGTTGGAAGTTTCCTGTACCAGTTGCAGCTTCCAGTTTCCACTGTTACAGTTTCTGCTTCTTGCTGCTGACTGTTCCTTGTTACAGTTATGCTTCTTGCTGCTTACTGTTCCTTGTTGATGGACCGCGCGAGGGGGGGAGGCCCAAAACGGGCATTTTTACCACGCCCAAGTCGTATTGTCTGAATTGCTGAGTGGGTAAAAATAAACACCCCTCAAGCAGATCGGCGGGGTCAGGGTCCGACAACACAGGGGATTTGCCACATTTCTGAAATTCGGTGGCACCCCTCACGCAGATCGGCGGGATCAGGGTCCAAAAACACAAGAGATTTGACACATTTCTAAAATTCGGCGGCACCCCTCACGCAAATCGGCGGGGTCAGGGTCCAAAAACACACGGGATTTCTCACATTTCTGAAATTCGTTGGCACCCCTCACGCAGATCCACAGCGTCAGGGTCCAAAAACACACGGGATGTGCCACATTTCTGAAATTCGGCGGCACCCCTTAATTACGCAGATTGGCGGGGTCAGGGTCGAAAAACAAAGAGGTCCCGACACTGCTTCACGGCGAAGCCAAGGCCTCATGGCTTCGCTCTTCCATGGCCCATTCTCCGAGAGAGGGGGTCGGCGGCAGGGGACGAAGCCCTTACGGGTAAATAGACACAAATAACCAGCTTCCCCAAATGTTTCCATATTTTCTGCGCTTTCGTCTTCACCCCACCTGTCCATATTTTCGCATCTGTTCCCGGGGCTCGACGATGCATTGTGTCTGTGTGCCGTTCCAAGCGCGGAGCGCATGTTTCAATCCACGGCCAAAGCGTGCGCCATGGGGGCGAGGGGGGCGGGAGGGGGCGCGCGACGCGGCGCCCCCCGCCCTTTCTGGTGCCGGACGCACAGCGGCAGTGCCAGGGGCGCACTGAAGGGGGGGAGCGCTACAGTCGGGGCGTTGACCTAAGGAGCCCCAAATAAGGAACGAGGCCCCTTTTTCCCATGCAAACTTTGAAACAACATTCAAGGAACACCGAGCCCCTCCCCAACGACAAGGGTTCCCTCTTCAGCGCCCCGACTGCACGTTAACGGGGTGGGGGGGGGGGAGGGAAGGGGCACAGCGCGCGCTATGGCCCAGGGCGCTGAAAAAAACACTCCTCGTGGGAGGGGGGCGACGAGGAGGAGCGAGGGGAAGCGGGCGAGCAGAAGCGGGGGGCGAGGGGCGGGGGCAGGAAGAGGGGCGACAGCGGGAGCGGGCAGCAGCGCGAACGGGGGCGAGGGCAGTGGAGATAAGCCTGTGGATGCCACGGCAACGGACACCCTCACAGTCCTATCATTAATTTTACATGTGTTTAAAATGACGGAATATTGTTATAAACATGTTTTAGACCTGTTTTGTTACATGTTTAACACACGTTTAACACATGGATTAGACATCTGGAAATTATTTGGCAACATCTTTCCTCTCCATTGATCGTCCTCCACAAGGATTAGCCTGCAAGAGTAGGGCAGAGGGATTTAGCTCTCTGCGCCCCTGCTTGTAGGTTCCTCCCCTGGGGGTAGTCGAGCCGGGGCGAGGCGGACGCGTTAATTCCGCCGGCGGGCGGGGCCTGTGACGCCAGCGCGGGTGGGTCAGAGCCCTCAGAGGTCTCTGTCGGGGGCGGAGTCGAAGCTGGCGTTGCTGGGGTCGGAGCCGGCTGTGAACGAGTCGGAGCCGAACATGAAACCCTCCGTCGGCCAACAAAAACAGGAGCCTCCAGTGATACCCTCCCCTGGGTGCACAAGAAGACCCAGCAAGCACGAAGAACACTTATTAGGGAACCCTCCCCGAATCGACCTCGATCTTATGCCTCGGTCCAGCTGTGGAGGCCTAGAAATAGGCACCAGCACCAACGCAAAAGGGGGTGCCTCCGCAGGTGGAAGGTGATCCTAGATGTCCGTGTCGGCGGTGATATTTCGGCCACCTTGGAAGCCAGAATATGACCACCATCACCGAGATCGGGATCTCCTTCCCTCGGTGGAGGCACACCGCCGATGTTGGTGTTGGTGTCAACCTCGAGGCCTGCGACAGCTGTGGGTTGATCTCCTGGGGCAAGGGCGGAGAGCGCGAGCGCCGTGCCGGCCCTCCCCCCCTGCCCCGGGAGGGGGAGGGGCGGGGGGGTCGCCCTTTCCATCTCGACTGGCCATCCTGAAAGGCGGGGATCTATCCATATCCACCGCCTGGGAACCGACGTCCTCGTGCCCCAGCGGGCAGTGGATATGGATATGGATAAATGGATATATATATATATAAGTATATATATATACTTTTATATCTATACATACATACATATATATATATATATATATATATATATATCGCCCCCCGGGGGCCCGAAGATGTCCATTTCCACCGCCTGCCGAGGCTCCGAAAACTGACCCTCCAGGCGGTGGATATGGATAAATTTCCGCCTCGGACATTCCACGTGGATTTGTTCGGTTTCACTTCGCTCATGTTTCGCAAGATGAGGAGGAGGGCGACGACGAGGACGAGGGCGACGACGACGAGGAGGGAGGCGGAGGAAGAGGCGAAGGGTCCAGGCACGTCCAAGCGATGCCAAGTCGAGCAACAGAGGGCTCAGCGCGCGAGATCCCTGCACCATTGGCCGACCCGGCGCTTCGAGCAGGCGTGGCTCCAGCGAGCGAGAAAAAAACGCGCCCTGAGCAGTCAGAGACTGGCCCCGATTCAGGGGGAGGGCGGCAGGCTGCACGCAGGCAGGCGGGCTCGCCCACGGCAGCTGATGGCCGGGCAAAGAGAGGTAAGGACCGCTCGAGGGGGGGAGGAAGGACGCACGGAAGCAGAGAAGGCGGGGAGCGCAATCCTGGATGATCCGGAGTGTTCCTCGATGGCCCTCGCCGAGAAGCATCGAGCACGCGTCCGAGCGATGCCAGGGCGAGCAACGGGGGGCTCCGTGCGAGATCCCTGCCGCGTTGGCCGACCCCGGCTGCTCGAGCAGGCGGCGCGCGAGCGGGCGCGCCCTGCGCAGGCAGAGACTGCGCCCCGGTTGCGGGGGAGGGCGGCAGGCTGCGCGCAGGCAGGCGGGCTCGCCTGCGGCAGCTGATGGACGGACGAAGGCAGTCAATGACTGCTCTGTGGGGGAACCAAGAGGTGCCGACATCGCTACTCCCCGGACCTCTCCCAGGGTGCGTTCTGACCCGGGTTTCGAGGCGAATCTAGTGGTGGCGACGAGGGCGCCTCCCAGGAGGCCGAGAAAGGGGGAAATATCGGCGGTGGACAAACCTCCCTTTAGTAAACCTCCATGTAGTGAAAACGGCCTAGGACCGAGACCGACGGACCTGGACCCAAAAGAATGACGGCCGCGGCGCCCTCTCGCGAACCGAGAACGGCCAATTCGCTAATCGACGTGTCAGGGCAGGAGGTCCACCAACCTCCGAAGATAAGGAAAGGGCAGAGGTATGGGTGCCTCTTCCTCCTCTGAGTTTCGGGGGGAGCGACGCACGAAAGCGCGACGAGGGCGGGGCGCGCAGTCCTGAACCCTTCTCGTGGGCGATCAGCAGCTCCTGCGCCCGAGCGCCGACAGCCCGACAGCGCAGGGTCGGAGGCCCGGAAGTGGGCACCAGCACCAACGCAAGGGGGGTGCCTCCACAGGTGGAAGGTGAGCCTAGATGTCCGTGTCGGTGGTGATATTTCGGCCACCTTGGAAGCCAGAATGTTACCACCATCACCGAGATCGGGATCTCCTTCCCTCGGTGGAGGCACACCGCCGATGTTGGTGTTGGTGTCAACTTCGAGGCCTGCGACAGGGGGGTGCACGAGGCGGAGGGACGAGGATCGCGCGGTCAGCCAGGGGAAGAGAGAAGCTTGGAGAGGGCCTAGGTATACACACACAGATAGATAAGCACACATCCGAGGATTCCCTACATCTTCCCATATTTTCTGCGGTTTCGTCTCGCCTTCCACTTCCCACATTTTCCCATATCTTCCCTGGGGACCGACGATGACTTGTCTCTGCGTCTTTTCCCCTCCTGAAGCGTGGCCGGCGGGGCGAAGGGGCAGCAGAGGAGGGCCGAAGAGGGGGGCAACGACCGGTGACTGACTGAGCGGCGGCTTCCCAGGGGGTAAGACGCCGGGGCCCGAGCTCCCCGGCTGGAGCACAAGATCAGAGCCACTGCTGCGGCTTCGCCGCGCGACCTCCACGGGGCACAGCGCGGCCTCCGGTGTTCTGCCGGGCCCCACAGACATCACGCTCCGGCCTGAAAGCTGCAGCCTCAGAAGGAAGCGGAGAAGGGGGAGTGGGCAGCATGGTTGCCAAGAAGGGTGAACACGCGCACCAAAGGCTCGATCTGAACCAAGATGGGGATGCCGCGCAGCAGCAGCCCAGCTCGCGCCGGGAACCAGGGCGCCAGGTCGCCACGGCGCCTGGAAAAGGGGAACTCACCACTGAGGACGAGCATGATAGGGGGACTCTGGGGGCAGAGAGGAGCGGGAAGCGGAAGAGCACCTCGCACCCACTGCGCCGCGCGCAGACTCCGAGCGCAGCTCCCAGCCCCAGCCCAACCGAAGGTACTCTCTGAATTCTCCAAACGCGCGCGAATCCTCCTCCTCCTCCTCCTCCTCCTCCTCCTCTTCCTCCTCCTCCTCCTCCTCCTCCTCCTCCTCCTCCTCCTAACCCAAACGCCGGAAGCCCGCGGCGCTCGAAGCCACGGGCGCCCGCCGCCTTGTTGGCCAGGCGCCACCCTTCCGATCCGAAGACCCTGCGCGGATTGCCCGCGCCTCGAGCTCTGCGGCCTGGCCGCGGGGCGCCGCCGCCAGTGCGGGCGGACGGCCCCATGATCGAGGGGCCCAAGGACACGCACACACACACACACACACACACTAAGAAATACGCACAAATAGAGAAGGATCCCCCATCTTTTCCTACATGTTCTGTTTTTTTTGTCTTCCCCCCCACTTCCCATATGTTCCCCTATTTTCTGGGGGATCGACGACTAGTTGTGCCTGCGTGCTATTTCTCCTCCTGACATGAGTGGGCGTGGCCAGCCATCCACGACGGGTGCGCGGCGGACTCTCGACGGCATTCGCTTCGCCGCGCTAGCGGCATCCGCCCCTCCAGCGCCAGGCTACGTCGGCGGTCGAACCGACGCGGGCCCGACCGCCGCCCGCCATGTCGCATCTGATCCAATCGTAGATGCCGTCGTCCAAGACGTCGAACATCGGCCCACCCCGCGCCTCCACGCCGCGCGCGTCGAGTGCACTGCGCAGCGCCTGCTCGGCATCCTCGCGCGCCTCCTGTCAAGGGTGCTCTCGACGAGCTCGGCGGTCTTCAGTCCTGCAGTCCACGCGGAGGGGAGGGCCTGCACCTGTACCTGCACCTGCGCTACCTCCAACGCCTGCCGCGCGATGGTTAGCGCGGATAGCGCGAGGCGCTGCCGAGCGAGCGAGCGTAGCCGTCGCGCTGGCCGGCGCCGCGGCGGACCGCGACGACGCCGGCCGCCGGCGCCGTGGGCCGCGAGCAGGTCGAAGGCGAACAGGTCGATGGCGAATCCGTCAAGCAGGGCGAAGGTCAAGGCGTCGAGCACGTCGAAGGCGAGCAGGGCGACGACGAAGCCGTCGAAGGCGAGCAGGTCGAAGGCGAGCAGGTCGAAAGTCGAAACCTGCCCGCGCATGCCGCGGAAGTCGAACACAGCGCCCGCGTCGCTCTCAGCCATGGCCCGGATGCGCGATCCTCGCAGGAGTCGGACTGCAACGCGAGCTCTCGTCAAAGCCCGATCGCCCGCCGGGCTCTGGCGATGAGCCCACGCGCCACAGCTCGCCGGCGAGTCGATCGGGCGACCCCCAGGCGGTGTGCATGCCACGACAATGGACACCCTAACAGTCCGATCATCGAATTAAACATGTGTTTGAAATGTTGGAAATGTCATGCAACTGTTTAAGACATGTGTCTTACCTGTTCAGAACAGTTGTAACACATGTTTGAAATGTTGAAAACAGTTTCAACACATGTTCTAGACATCTGGATTTTTTTGCAACATGCTTCCTCTCCGTTGATCGTTCTCCACAACCCAGGTGTGCATGGATGAGGTCGCTCGCGCCCGCGCGGCTGAGCCAAGCTCGGTTACGTCGATCGGTTGCGACCGAGCTGATGACGCCCGCGAGCGGTACCGCACCTGGGATGCCTGCGCCCGTGCTGCGTCTGCACGTCGCGTCGGAAAAAAAGTGCGAGTAGCGATTTGACCACAGCCGTTTCCTGCCTGGTGTACATGGCATGTACTGGATAAATATGTGTTTCGCAGCCCCTGCCCAATGTACCACAAAAGGGAGTTGATCATCCCTCTTTTTCGCTCGAGCCCAGCAGTCAAGTATTGCCCGCTATGAAGAAAGTACGAAACCTTGATAAATGTCTGGCGCGCACTTCGCTTGCACAAGAGTTCTTACCACCGCGCGCAGGCGTCGTGATGCAAATTGCCTAGCTAACTCCCTGGCGTTTCTGAGAAGACGCCCAAAGTCGCGACAGAAATATAAATGTTCACCCGCACATTGTGGCCACACGCGCGACAAAAGAGCATCGCCTCTTCCGTGATACAATCCAAACATACATATATGTTTGTGTATGGTACCAAATCTGGTTCAGCCGAAACTGGCTGCGGAAACTGGGTGATTGCTATTCCGTGAACATGAATTGTGTGCATGTGGTCACCCTCACCCGCCCGCGCAAATCGATCCCCATAAGGACCTACAAAGAAATCGTCAAACTGACCTTTTTCATGGACCCTGAGAAGAGCTAAATGTGCCTGTGGTGGCCCCCATGAAAGGAGGAATATGAAGATGAGGAGGAGGAGGAGCAGGAGAATGAGGAATATGAAGAGGAAGAGGAGGAGGAGGACGAGAGGGAGAACAAGGAGTAGAAGGAGGACGAGGAGGAGGAGGAGGAGGAGGAGGAGGAGGAGGAGGAGTAAGAGGCTTTTGGTCTGATCCGTCGGAGGAGGACGAATCTGAAGGAGGAGGAGGAGGAGGAGAAGGAAGAGGAGGAGGCGGTTCCGGTTTGATTTAATCGAAAACGCTACGCGCAGGTCGGGGGGGTCTTCTGGGGGCCTTGCCACGGCCTCTACAAGGCAGGGGCGGGAATTACCAACTCGGGGGAGAGGGGGAGAGAAAATAGGAGGACCCGGGGTGAGAGGGAGGGCGCCTGGACTCGGGCACGCCCTTCTGCTTCTTCCCCCGGGCCCCCACCTGCGCGCCCTCCTCCTCCTCCTCCTCCTCCTCCTCCTCCTCCTCCTCCTCCTCCTCCTCCTCCTCCTCCTCCTCCTCCTCCTCCTCCTAGCAGATGGGATGTGCGCAGCTGGGCCCGAGAGGCGCGGCCCCGACAGAGGTGCTCCCCTCAGGCGCGCGGCGAGTGCCCCGCGCCCCTGTGCACAGTGCCGGGCCGCCTTCTGCATCACAGCCCTGCGGTCGTTTGGTCCCTCCCCCGCCCTCGGCAACGGGCAGGCGCGTGCAGGTCCTCCAAGGCCAAGGAGTTGGAGATCGCCTGCACGGGGATCCCCGAACGCTTCTGTCGACAGCTGATCCCCTTCGCCCGACCTTTTACGCCTCCTCAGTCCTCCCTCCTCGTCCCTTCTCTTCCCTTTGCTCTCCTTCCTCACGATTCTCTTGAACACCACACCCTCCCCACCTCAGTCAAATCCCACCGCCCGGGGCCACTTTTTCGGTATAGAAAAACATCGCCACGGGGAGGGAATGTTGTATGCCAGACCAACGACCAGGACCCTCGCTCGACCCCGCAGTTCTAGGGTAGAGTCTATAATTTGTTCGGGCGGACTCATCCTTCATCCTCCTCATCCTCGCCACTCCTCCTCCCCTGCGCCTCCTCACTCCACCTCCTTGCTCTTTCGTGCCGTCGGGGTGCGCAGGAGCACCCGTGAAAAAATACCCGTGTACATCGTGCTGGGCAGATGCACCGCTCGAGTTGGAAACGTAGATTCGACTTAGAGCTGACATGGGAGTTCTCCTCCTTTTCCTTCTCCTTCTCCTTCTCCTGATCCTCCTCCTCCTCCTCCTCCTCCTCCTCCACCTCCTGCGGCCTGCTCCCAATCCTCCCTCCCCCAGCTTCTTCCCGCGTTCCCCGCCCCCGTGTCTGAGCTCTGGGCGGTCCACCACACCTGGAGACTGCACCGAGGCATCACACACTCCTGCCGGAACTCAGTCATGACCCTGGAACCCCGAAACAAACCCGGCCTGGCAGCGTGCCAATCTGCTCCGCCGGCCCTCGCTAGGGCTCCCAACTTCGCGCTTCGCGCTCCGCGAAGCGCGAAGCGCGAATAACTTCGCGCTCTCGCGCCGCCCCCCCAAAGGGAGAAAAGGAGGACGAGGAGGAGGGGGAGAAGGAACGAGGACCGCGAAGCGCGAAGCGCGAATAACTTCGCGCCCTCGTGGGAGCCCTTGCCCTCGTCCCGACTGCTCCCCGGCCCCGTCCCGTGCCCGCGGGTCGGCTGCACGCCCTGGCGCTCGCCAGCTTCCCTCGCCCGCCCAGGCTCCCGCCTGGCTGCTGCTCGCAAGGCACGCGCTCCCAGCCTGATCCCTCCATCTCTTCCCCTACAGTCGGGCCGGTGAAAGAAGGAACGATAAACAAGGAACGAAGCCCCTTTTTGGCCCCACAAGCGCCTGCGTGCCTGAGAGGAAAAGCCATCTAAGGAATATCGAGCCCCTTTGTTACCCAAACTGTTCCTTATTTCAGCGACTTGGCTGTACTTCCTCGTCCGTTTCAGCGCTCGCAGACATCGCTCCCTCGCTTCTGTCTCTCTCATCCCCTCTCCGTTCCTCTCCTCCCATCTTCCTTCGACTTTCTCTCTCCCCTTCTCTTTCTCTCTCTCTCTCTCTCTCACTGCCACGGGGTCGGCGGAACCGACACAAGCCCGTTGGATCTGTGTGAAGCCCCCTCTCTCCTCGTCCTTCTCCTACCACTCCTCGTTTTCCTTTTCCGATCCTTTTGCCTCGTCCTGCTCCTTTTCCTCCTCCTCCTTTTCTTCTCTTCCTCCTCCTCCTCCTCCTCCCCCTCTTCCTCCAACTCCTCCTCGTCCTCCGTGTCTTTTCCATATGAATAACTCTTCTCTGTCGCACCCGGACCCCAGTCTGAAGGGCGGGTCGGGCGTTTCGCCTGAGACTTCCTGACCATTTAGAAGCTGAAGATTGGCAACGGACTCGCAAAAGGAACGCAGGTTGTTTTTCTCGAAACGTGGCACTCACCTCAGCGCCGCGCACACTCGTCTTAAACATTTGCAGCGGGTCGTTCTCAAAGTGTGGTTCTCGCCTCAGCGCCGCGCACATTCGGCTCAAACAGGTGCAAGAGCTTCACGGAATCAGAGCGGTTCCATTTCAATATGCGGCTCTCGTATTAGCGACGCGCAATTTCGCCTCAATTATACAAGGGGTCAGCTGGTTTTCACGGGTAACATATCCGCCGGCCCCCTGGCGGGCCACCAGGCTGTAGGCCGGGAATTTGCAGCTTCCTGTACCAGTTGCAGCTTCCAGTTTCCACTGTTACAGTTATGCTTCTCGCTGCTTACTGTTCCTTGTTGACTTCTTGCTGCTTACTGTTCCTTGTTGATGGACCGCGCGAGGGGGAAGACCCAAAACGGACATTTCTACCACGCCCAAATCGTATGCTCTGAATTGCCGGGGTGAGTAAAAATTGACACCCCTCACGCAGATCGGCGGGGTCACGGTCCAAAAACGAGAGAGCGTGATCCACCGACGCTTTACTGTAGAAAATTCCCCCCCTCTTCCTCCGGAGCCCGGGGTCCCCCCCCCCCTCCGACCCCCCCCCCCTGCTGGACCCCCCCCTCCCCTCCCCCGGCAAAACCTCCCCCCTCCCCCTCCAGAAAACTGAGGGGGTCACTACCGGTTCGAACCCCCCCCCTCCCCTCGAAAACCGAAGGCGACCGGTTCGAGCCCCTTACCCCCCAGAAAACCAAAGGAAGGTCACTACCGGTTCGAACCCTCCAGAAAACCGGGGGGGGTCACTACCGGTTCGAACCCCCCCCCCTTCGAAAACCGAAGGGGGGTCACTACCGGTTCGAACCCCCCCCCCCCCCTCGAAAACCGGGGGGGTCACTGCCGGTTCGACCCCCCCCCCTCGAAAAACCGGGGGGGGGGGGTCTCTACCGGTTCGAACCCCTTCTCCCCCCCCTCACCGCCAGCAAACGACTCACGGTCCCTACCACCGTCCGCACCACATCCCCCACTGCTGTTCCCAGCACCACTGTCCTCACCACCACTGTCCCTGCTGGTTCCACCACCGTCCCTACTGTCCCCACCAGTGCCCCCACCACTGTCGCACTGTCCCCACTGTCCCCACCACTGTTCCCACCACGGTTCCACTCTCCCCACTTTCTCCACGGCCCCAACCACTGCCCGACTATCCCCACTGTCCCCACTGTCCCACTGTCTCCTCCGCTGTCCCACTGAGCTGTCCCTCTGTTCCTACCACTGTCCCCACTGTCCCGCGACCCGCGACATGCGTCGACCAGGCAGTGTAGTTTGGATCGGACGAGCCCCAGGCAGGCGCCCCTTGCGTGGCCTACCACATCTTGTGAGGAGTCTCTGGATTGCCTCTCCTGCTTCGTTCTGGCCACGGAACGGGGCGAGGACGATCGCTCGAGGTGGTGCCCCGTGGTGCCTATGCGACTCTTCTGGGACAGCGCCCGACCCCGCCTGGTAGCGCCTCCAGCCCAGCTTCTGCTCGTGTCGCGCGCCTGGGAGGGTGGTCCAACGTCGCCCCAAGCATTCGCACGGGCCCCCGGAAGAGCACTGTCTT